GCTGAAGTCAGAGGCTTAACCAACTGGGCCACCCAGGTGCCCCTAGTTTTTGTTTTCAAGGCTTGGACACCTACCTACCCAGTGAAGAATTTAGACATTTCTACTGGTAATGGTGTGTCAGCAGCTTTTCCTCATCAGAAAAAAAGCCTCTGACTGTTGATTTCGGCTCAGGTCACGATTGTACCGTTTGTGAGTTAGAGACCTGCATGGGGCTCTGTGCTGACAGTGCAGAACCTGCTTGGGATTCTCTCTCTTCCTCTCTCTCTGCTCCTCCACCACTGGCACTGTGTGTCTCTCTCTCTCTCTCAAAATAAATAAATTAAAAAAAAAAGAGGGGTGCCTGGGTGGCTCAGTTGGTTAAACATAGGACTTTGACTCAGGTCATGATCTCGCTGTTCATGAGTTCAAGCCCCAAATCGGGCTCTATGCTGACTGCTCAGAGTCTGGAGCCTCCTTCAGATTCTGTGTCTCCCTCTCTCTCTCTGCCCCTCCTCTGCTCACTCTTTGTCTCTCTGTCTCAAAGATAGATAAATGTTAAAAAAAAAAAAAAAAAAAGAAAAGAAAAGGAAAGAAAAGAAAAGAAAATCACGCTGAAGTCAAGAAAGGTGCTGTTAGGGAAGGCAAGGCAAGGCAAGAAAATCACGCTGAAGTCAAGAAAGGTGCTCTTGTGGCAGGGCTGGGAAGTCATGGATGTTGGTGGAATGTCGAATATCGTCCATCCCAGTGGGAAACAGTGCCTACCTGGGGTGGTGACGGCCATGCCAGGAAGGACAGGAGCTGGCAGAGGGGAACGGAGATGCTGATGTGTCGGGGTGGCTATCAGAAAACTTGGTGGCATGCCAGGAGTGAGGCCTCCAGCTCAGCTCATTCTTCCTGAAAAAAACAACAAAACAAAAAAAACGCAGACAACTCAGGAATTGCAAATAAAGGACAACCCTGTGCCAAGATGGGAGTGAGACACGGAAATATGTTACAGCTACTCCCGCGTGACTGATAGCATTGCTTCCGGGGCTTTCCACGGTATCTGGATATGAAAAATTGTTAACTTTTATTAATGCAGAACCCATCCTAAGGCAGAGTGAGAGTCATGAGCTCCAAAATGTGAACTAAGCCTTATTCTTCAATTTTTGCTCTAAACAGGTAAATAAATCTGTCCTCGCCTCAGCCATCAGTAGGACCCCGGAAGGACTCTTCTGTCTTTCCTGTTTCAGCATAGCTATGCACACAGCCGTCAGCCTCCTTGAGGAGGAGAGATGCACTAGAGAGAAGTGCAGGGGGTCCCCAGCTCAGCCGGGTCACACACAGTTTAGACCACTTCCTTTTTTTTTAAAGTTTATTTATTTATTTTGAGAGAGAGACAGAGAGCAGGGGAGGGGCAGAGAGAGAGAGAGAGAATCCTGAGCAGGTTCTGCACTGTGAGCACAAAGCCCATTGCAGGGCTCGAACTCCTGCACCGTGAGATCACGACCTGAGCCAAAATCAAGAGTCAGATGCTTAACCGACTGACCCCCAGGCATCCCTGGATGACTTCTATTTACTCACTTCACTAAGTAAACGCAGACATCTTGACATTAACTGAGACTAGCAGGGGCGCATTCATTCCTCTGAGCCTCTCAGAGTGTCTGTGAAGTCAGCTAAGGGTCCCCATCGTGTGCATTCATGATGCCCTAGAACGACGGCTCTAGTCCGTTCAGCCAGGACTTGTGAACACCGTATGCAGCGTCTTCCTGGGCTCCTGCGCCTCTGTCCGCACCCTCCCATCGGTGGCTTATTCTTTTTTTGGCTACACCGCCTGGGAACGATAAGGGAGGTTCAGTCGCAAATCCCTACAGCTGCCATGTAAATGTTCACAGAGCATCCAAGAGAACGGTGGTGTGTGAGGAGAGCCACGCATCTGCTTCTCCCAGTCTCCATTGTCTCCACGTCTCCAATTTGGGACAGAACTCACTGACTGTGGCCAGTCTGCAGCTCAAGAGGCTCAAACTGAGCCTCTGTAGGTGCTTGACAGAGAGCAGACATTCTTCCAGGCAGGCAAAGACATTAAAGGATATTAATGTTAAAAGCATATTAAAGAAACCCGGGGTGCTTGGGTGGCTCAGTCAGCTGAGCGTCTGATTCTTGACTTCGGCTCAGGTCATGATCCCAGCGTCATGAGATTGAGCCCCACGATGGGCTCTGGGCTGGGTGTGGAGCCTGCTTGGGACTCTCTCTCCTCCTCTGCCCTTGCCCTGCTCGTGTGTTCTAACACACACACTCTCTCTCAAAACAGTAGTAAAGAGTATTAAAGAAATCTGAAAAGTATGTATAACTTAAACCTTCTGACAACTCACGGGGTGCCCGAGTGGCCGAGTCACTTAAGTGTCTGACTCTTGATTTCGGCGCAGGTCGTGACCTCATGGTTCCTGTGTCCCAGCCACGCTGACAGTGTGGAGCCTGCTTGGGATTCTCTCTCTCTCTCCCTCTCTCTCTCTGCGCCTCCCTCAAAAACAAATACATAAACGTTAAAATAAAAACGTTCTGACAACTCATACTTAAGGAGGAAAAGTAGATGGGTGGCAAAATGTGGAATGTGTTGACTTCAGGAGTTTCCCCATGAACAAGAGCAAAAAAACAGACAACTTCATCACACCACAGAAGTAAGGGGATTGCAATCCCAAAGTGTACCTCATCGAGTTTCTCCAAATCCTCGTGAGGAAGGTTCTGGCTACAGGAGTCTCGTGTTCAGATGGCATTTTCTGTGCTATCGCATCAAGGATGTGTTTCACCTTCCTTTATACTTACTTAATGAAGGAAATAAACTAGACTGAGAGTGGAGGCAAAGGAAACAAATAAAAAAAGGAAGCCTGAAAAAGAAAATGCCTCATAATCTGTGGCAACATCTTCCAACCCAGCACATGGCAAGACTGGGGTATGTGCTGGCTTACTTGGGGGGAGGGGGGCAGCAGGGCTCCAAAAGTACACGCACTCCCTCCTTTTTAAAAAGACAATACAGGGGCGCCTGGGTGGCTCAGTCGGTTAAGCGGCCGACTTCGGTTCAGGTCATGATCTCACAGTCCGTGAGTTCGAGCCCCGCGTCGGGCTCTGAGCTGACAGCTTGGAGCCTGGGAGCCTGCTTTGGATTCTGTGTCTCCCTCTCTCTCTGACCCTCCCTTGTTCATGCTCTGTCTCTGTCTCAAAAATAAATAAACATTAAAAAAATAAAAATAAAAATAAAAATAAAAAGACAATACAGGTATGCCTGGGTGGCTCGGTCTGTTAAGCATCTAACCTCAGGTCAGGTCATGGTCTCGCAGTTCACGAGTTCCAGCCTCGCATCGGGCTCTGTGCTGACAGCTTGGAGCCTGGGAGCCTGCTTCAGATTCTGTGTCTCCCTCTCTCCCTCTCTCTCTCTCTCTCTCT